GCAAAAATAAAATAAATAAAAATTTTATTTTTACCTAATAAATCGGGCGTTACTTTTGGTGACTACTGTACGTACATGTAGATACGTAGTACTACAAAACCAACTTAATCTAGCAAACAATAACAATAAATAAAAACAAAAGGTACTGTACTATATTTCGGCTATAATTCGGTATTTCGGGAGCATTGAGATGCCGATATCCGTATTTTATTATAATCAATTATGCAAGCATGAAACCATTTAGGGCGGTTATAATTATACTTACATAATTAGTCATAGTTAGTAAACTGTGATAAAAAACATAAAACTACGTTCGATGTTAATTTGCCCAAAGAATATGGATTAGAATTAACCATGGATTTCTTGATTTTCCTATTGATCGTTGCTATTCTGTTTATAATTTGCAAAGTCTACAATTATGTAAACCCTAAAGAACCAAATAAAGATATTCATTCAATTACATTCTTGGGTTTATTGATGCGGATGATTAGAAAACCAGAAGGAAGTGATAAGTTTTATTTACGTTTTAAAGAATATTTCGAAAGGGATGGTGTTGTGAAGGTAAATTTTATTGGATAAAAATTGCAAAATTAAGGTATCTAACAAAATATATATTTTTTTATATATCCGTAGCTTTATTTTAAAGGAAGGTGGATTTGCATGATATCTGATCCAGAAATTGCTAAAGATTTATGTTTACGACTCGGTAGGTCGTGGATCGTTTGATAACTCCATTAAATTTTCTATTTACTGATATCTATTTATTGATATATTATTTAATAGACGTTTTTCCCAAGATAATGTTTGATGAAATTATGCCAGGATCTGTGGCTGAACGGCATTTTGGTGTGAATGTTGTTCATTCAAATGGCGATGTAAGTCTTGTTTTATCATTGATTGTATAAAATATTTTGACAAAATTCTTTATTATGTTTATTGTTTTATTTTAGGTTTGGAAGCGACATAGGTCCTTTTTTACATTTTTATTTATTGTTCGTTATTTTAATTCTTTATACTAATACAATATAATATTATTTGTCAATAAAATATACTGTACTTAGACGCGTGTGTAACCCTGCATTTAAAGCTTTGCCAGTACACCTTTTTGTTGAAAAGGGTTTAGAATTAATGGATATTTTAGAAAGAGTCGATAATAAGCCTATTGAAGTCAAAGATTTTATGCAAAGGTAAAAAATAAAGATGCTCTTTACACGCCTTATGTTAATTCACTAAAATTTATAAATTCAAAATTTCGTAGGTTGACTTTAGATGTTCTTGGAAAAGTTTCCTTTAATTTTGATTTTAATGTAAGAGCAAATAAAATATATGCTGTAGATATTGTATAATTTAAAATTTAACAACTTTTCAAATTAGAATCTTCAAGATCCGCATAATGTCTACGTAACAGCTTATAATGAAGCTCAGAAAGTGTTTAGAAATCCTTTTTTTTCTCTTATTTCAATTGAACACATTCCGATCTTGAGACGGCTAGCATTTAGTAAAATTGATAGATTAAATAATTTATTTGAGGATATAATTAAAGAAAAACGTAAATCTTTAGCTGCTGGACAATCTAATGGAGATCTTTTGGAGCTTATGTTAAAGGCTTGTGAAGATCCTGATAATCCAACGTTATCAGATATTGAACTAAGAGTAAGTGACTTTAGACTTATATTGATATAATCTAAATAGTAAAATTTTAATATCATGTTTTATTTTAACAGCATAATTTAGCCATTTTTATGGTTGCAGGTCATGACACAAGTAAATATTATGTTAGTTCTTATTAATTCAGAAAAATCAGGTTATAATTTTTATTTAACACGTATACCCTTTTCTTTCTATGAATTTAGCCGCAAATGCTTTATCGACTCTTTTATATCTTTTAGCAGTTCATAAAGTAAGACGCCTGGTATTATTATAGTATTATTGCTATTATATTTATTAAACTGCTAAATATTTGGTATTTGTAATTTCATTTATCTAGGATGTTCAAAAAAAAGCCAGAGAAGAGGTCTTAAAAATACTTGGTGATGATCTAACACCATCGGCAGAACATCATGCGTCATTAAAATATTTAAATATGGTTATTCGTGAAAATCTTAGATTATATCCTCCAGTTAGTATAAATTTCAATCTAATTAATATCTTAAATAAGTAACGATACTACTTATAGTATAATTTATTTTTAATTCTTATAGGTTCCAACTTTGCCATTACGTGTAATAACAGAAGACTTAAAATATAAAAACTTCTTGATTCCGGCTGGCACACTTATTGGTCTCTTTTTATATGGGATACAACATTCGTCAAAGCTTTGGGAAAATCCTGAAGAGTTTTTGCCTGAAAGATTTGAAAATGAACATGAAAATTATTCTTGGTTGGCTTTTGGTGGTGGATCTAGAATGTTTGTCGAGTTTTTTTATAATTGTTTTGACTTTTTACTTTGGTAATAATTATTAAATCTATTTACACATTTTTTTATTTTTTATTTTTTATTTTTTTTTAAAAAAATAGGTGCTTAGGAACCAATTTTTCTCTTATTGAGCAGAGATTAGTGTTATGCTTATTATGCAAGTACTTTAAATTCAGTTAATTGAATTTTTTTTACGTGAATACTTACATGTATGATGTATATTTTTAGTGCGTAAATATGAAATATCATTACCTCAAAATAGCATACATAAAGACGGATTAAAAATCAAGAGAGGAATGTCTCCATATCCAATCGAACTTATTTTTAAAAGGAATAAATAATGCTCGTTTATCTTTTATAATTGAATTTTCAATATTAAATGCTGTTAATTATTTTCTTCCAATTAATATTTATACTATTTATTTTTTATTTAGTAATTATTAAATAATCTGATTTTAGTTGACAATTTTGGTGGTTATATTAGGTGTAACAATGATATATTAATGAGTTTCTTTTGAAGTAAAATCGAGAGTAATCTAGTTCAGGTTTTCTTAAATTATGAATGCTGACAAAATAAGTTTCATTATCCGGCAGCTTACTATGATCGTACCACCAGAATAATTCGAGTTATTTTGATGGTCATCAAATAACTTCGTTATTTGATGATGACGAAAGAATTCTGTTGATTCGGTCGTCGTAAGCCACCGGATAAAACCATTATTGGATGCTACGTATAAAATGAATCATTTCCAAATAATTCTGTTATTGGCTGCTGCATCAAATAACTATATATTATCACTTATAGTATATATGCGTATTATGTGTCGCTGATTAGCATTTAGGCGTACTCATATTACGATAGACCAAAGCAAAAAAAAAAAAAAGATTAGAATGAAATTAGAAACTTGTGTCACATAAAAAATCTAGTAAAGAATAAGTGTAGTATAGTAAAACATGTTCTCATCTAATCAGATTCATGATCTTACTAATAGTTCAGACACTCCGTTTCACTATGTTCCTGGTATTTACGAAATCTAATATTTTTTTTGTAATAATTATTTACATTAAGAGTTAAATATCAAAGTTTATCCCTTAAACTGTTTCTTGTACAAATTTGTACTGAAATTTTTTTAAAAGTTTTATTTTTAAAATAAAAATCTAAATATTAATTTTAGCTATATACTTTTTAAGTAAAAAATATATTTTGAGATATATTTTAATAATTTTGTAAAGAAAAAATTTTTAATTTTATTAAAAAACTTAAGAATTATAAAGATTTAAAGTTTTTATTTGGAATTTTTTATTATAAAATTTTCTATTAAATTTTTAAAATTTTATATGTCTCCGTCTATAAAAAAATTTTTTACTTCTAATACAAGTCTTAACTTTTACAAATAAACTTCAAAGTTACAATAATGAAAATTATAATCCTTTATTTAAACTATAATTTCTATTAAAAAGCTATAGATTTAAAATTAATATTTAAAGAATTTGTTAAAAAAATTATAAATTATTTTTTTAATTAAAAATTTTTTTAAAATTTGTATTTTTTAGCTTATAAACAAGTTAAATTTTCTGTTTTATAATTTGAATATAAATTTTACAAAATATAATCCTTATTTTTAAATATCATCAAAAAAAATTTATTTAAATATATTAAATTTTTAAAAAAATAGATCAGAAGTAAAATTCGTAAAATTCAGGCCAAATTTGTACTGAATTTTAAACAGTTTAAAGGATAGTACTTTTCAATTCCCTACTTTCACGATACATCCATATTACAGTAAGTGCCTTCCTCTAATTGCAATTTTGAATCCTCTATAGAAAATTATCCACAAACATTTTATTTCATAGAAAATCAATATTTTATAGGTAGTTATTTTATAAATAATTTTTAATAGTGAATAACTTCTAATCTACTAATCTATTTTGGATACTAAATAATAATCTTATCAAGTTAATCGTTTTGGTAATTAAACGAGTTTATTGAGAATATAAAGATAAGTTTACTTAATATGGCTTTAAGTTATTAAATGCTTTTTGTTAGATAAGTTTTTAATTAGTTTCAAAAAGTTTGTGTTCAAATAATAGATAGGAAGAGTTTCCTATAAATGATTTTTTTTCTTCCCATTTGTTTGTATATGTTATTTCTATTGCAACAAAAATAAAGTTTATCCTTTATGTAAACAATACTAGTAAAAAAGAAAACACAATAAACAAATGATTAAAATTACAGAATATATTTTAGAACTCTATAATCTATTATAGTTTTGTTCAATATTTTTGTTAATTTGATTTATGAGTGCAGACGATTTACGTTCATAAGTTCAGACGATTTATAATTCAATTACTGTCAAAGCTTATTAACTATCGTGAACTCTGACATAGCGAACTTTAAAATTTTAAATTATTAATTGATTTGGAAAGTGATAAAACATAGTAATTGTATACTCTATGATTCGATCTCATTTCAAATCTGTTAGTGACTATTAATTCAGTAATCATATTTGCCTTATTATGGACTAATAGCAGTGATTTTGTTTTACAAAACAATTAAGCCTTCCTTTCTAAAAAACAAATAATATTCAACAAAATAAGAATAAAGATCAAAAGAATGATTCTAACTTCCGGCGAATTATAATATCAGTAAATCATGTAATTACATCTCGATTTTAGGACTTTTTGCAGGTTACAGCGCCTAAATTTATGCCGAATCCAATCTCTAATCAGGATATTATGGCATTATAGCGTTACAACATTATGATACTACGGTATTACGAATTACGACATATATTTACGACAATTAGACACAATGTCAGAATTAATTCTACCATATGAAAAAATGCCGCAATACTATAATTCAATAACTCTACCACCAACTATACTTATCATTAACTAAAGTTTTAAATGTTAATATATCGCATTTAGTATATTTATTATTACAGTTATAACAAGAATTCTCCATAAGTGCATATTCACCTGGTGAGTTACTGTATACGTACAGGTGAGTGACCCAGTGATTAAGTGTATGCTAAATCCAATCTAATTAGGATATTACAGCATCACGGCAGATAACATTACGACAGTTAGACACCGAATTAATTCTACCATGTGGTAAATGCCGTAATGCCGTAACTCAGTAATTTTACCACAAACTATACCCGTACGTACCGCTGTGGAAAGTCTAAAAACTCTATATATAGAAACCAGCTAAATTTGTTTATATGCTGATTGAAGATCTTAAGCTTCATGCACTTTATTAAAGTTGATAAGAAATATTTTAAATTAGGGGTAGCTGCGCGACGCAGTCGCGCTAGAACCAGGAACTTGGAATATTAGGTTTCGGTTGAAGCAAAATAACTCAAGTTAGGGCCACGCAAAGTTAATTTTCGTTTTGCATAAACCGCCGACCCAATTTTTCCAAAAAAAAATTATTTTTTTAAAAAAATTCCTATTGTGCCAATTATTCCATTTTTGCTAATTAATTTTTTCTCCGGTGTCACCCGATGACGACCTTAATTTTCCGGAAGTACCCGATAGGTCCGAAAAAAAATTCAAAATTTTAACTTTGCGTAACCTTAGATGTGAACATGAATTAATTTTTAAAAAAAAAAAAAAATCCGACCGGAATTTTGAAACACCAGGTTATGCAAAACGAAAAATTAACTTTGCGTGGCCTAGCCATGCATTAAATCTA